CGTCATGAGTTTTCAAAACGACTTGGACAAGAAGTACAAGAATCCCTTAGTGGATTTATGCGACAAGGGCAACGTGAAGAAATTGTGAGGAGGGCACGTGGAAAAATGTAACTGCAAGTGATGTGAATATGCTTCTGTTGTTAAGTGTATGATCGGGTCAGGTAAAAAAAAAAAAAAAAAAAAAAAAAAACCTCCCAAAGTTAACTTTTTTTCAAAAAAAAAAAAAAAAAAAAAGTTAATACCTTATCCTAACTACTTCAAGAGGGGAAGTTATAATTCCAGACAGCATCGAACAAATTAGATTCAATTTGAGGCTGTTAAAATTGGATGTCTCGATTTCTAATCTTTTCATGAGGTCCATTCCCATCTGGTGCGTCAGGGGGTGGGGGGCAGAAATGAAAGCGTGGAGAATGACATGGAGAGGGGGGGGTTAAAGTACTTGTGTTTATGTGTGTGTATTATATACAGGTAGCGAAACGGGAACAAAACGGGCAGTCACAAACTCATAAGACATTTTCGCCCCCCTTGTGCAGCTCATTTCGGTTGCTTCGTTATATGCATCCCCTTTTGGCCACGCCGAAACGGGGTGGACCCTTTTTTTTACATTTTGCAGAAAGAAGAATGAGCCTCCAAACATGCCATAGGTTAAGCAGGTAGAGATGTAGCCTCTGTACATCTGTGAAGGGGGGGGGGAAAAAAGAAAAGCAGCACATGAAGTTAGTTACTGCCACGGAGGGGGAGACAACCCCATTCAATTATCCATTCTTCATAGTGCGTAAAAATTACCCTGAAGAATCCCTCCTTGCGAATTAAATCCTTCACCAGGTGATAGGACGTCTTGTACTCCTTCAGTTGCAAATACCGTTGCGCCTTCAAAATGAGGGGAAAAAAGGAAAAGGGTAAAAAAAAAAAAAAAAAAAAAAAAATGTGGGACCCCACGTTAAGGGACAACATGGTAGGGGTGTGAGAAGCGTATAGGAGAGATGGTGTACTGCACTAATCGACCTACTCACCTGTAGCCTCTCCTTAATAACATCAATTGGGACGAACAGGACGCAGGACATGGCCTCGGCCAGGAAAGCTGCATGTCGGGTAGCGGTAAGGGGGGGGAAATGAAATAGAAAATGGGAGGGGAATAACACTGTGTGATGGCCACCACAGCACAGAGAGGGGAAGGCGATTCCCGCAGGTCCCCCTTTTTTTTTTTTCCACGCCTTATGGTGAAGACGGCCAAGAAGGAGCCATACCTATGGTGAAGTAATTCACAAAACTCAATGAGTTGGTAGTTTGTCCTGGCCCCGTTTTCTCGTCCCGTAGTTTGTCGTTCCAGTTTATTTTGATCCACTTGAGGTACTCGAAGCAGCAGAAGTAGAGGCTCGTCGCCGGGATGGTCGTCATGGCGGAGAAGCTGCAAAGGGGGTGGGGGTGAAGGGCGACTTAAGTCGTGTGAGACGGATCAGACATGCCCCCATGACGTTGCCCCACTCTCCTGTGCGCACTTACACAAAACCGCTGTAGAGCCCCCTGTATCCAAACTTTTGTATAAAGGCCGGGAGGAAAAAGCAGGTTCTACCTATGTTCAGGCGATTGGAGGTGCATGCATAGCTGGCTGGCCTGGCAGCACCCCCCACTTGTCTGTTGCTCGTGTCCACTTGTTTATTTACTTTCACTGTGTCAAGTGGGTAAAGCAGAACTCTGCTGAGCGTCGAGGCTATGATCGAGCCGTATAGGGTCTGCAGCATGGAGGGTTGTTCTGTCGGGGGGAGAAATGGAGGGTTGTGTGCGCAGCGACTTTTGAGCAGAGGGGAAAGGTTATTATATCTCTTGCGAAACCCAGCCAACACAGCGGATGAATCCATTCACCAATTACTACACACCGACCTCTGCACAGCTAACCTTGCTCGTTGTGTAGTTTCCATTTCTCCTCCACTTCTACTTCCTTGACATCACCCATGGTGGGGGGTTTGTAGCGATGCAGCTATTCACATGGGGATCATCCCTTCTTTCGTAAGTAAAAAAAAAAAAGGGCGTCGCGCAACCTCTACATGGGGAATGGCGCTCAGGTGAAAAAGTAACCACAATTAGGAAGAAAGAAAAAAAAAAGAGCAAGTGGAAAGAAACGACAATTTCACAAAGTGCTACTCTAAGTTTTTCTTAAACTAATTACCATCTGTTTGTGTTATATATAATATGCTCCCGTTGGGGGGACTTTTTTTTTTTTTTTTTTTTTTTTTTTTTATTCCTTAACAAGTGTGGGGACATAACAAAGGAATGGAGGTTGTTCTAGTTAGCCAGTTCATTTGAGTGGTAAAACTTTGTTGCCCCGCGGTACGTGGTGGGGGCATGAACACATATAATATATATTATACCTTACACATTTGAGTCCACCGCATATGACAGAGAGAGTGTATACAGCGTGGCGATGGTGAAGGAGAAAAAAAAACCCTCGTGGGGCCATTCCATGTGGAACAAAATAGCAGTTATATATAATTACGACCGCTTTTCACAAGCTGCTACATGGATCCCCAATCAAGTGTTCACCATGCGAAGAGGGGTGATATGAGGGAAGGAAAGAAAAAAATTGCCTCAACCAAAGACGTTAAGGAGAAAATACGCTTAATCTTCTGTCGGGCGCGAAAAGTGCGGCGCAGAGGTATGTCGTTTCAATACACATATTGTAATAGGCATGGCCGGTGGGGCCAATCTCCATCCTAAACCCATTTTCACATAAAAAAAAAAAATATATATATTTTTAATGGCCGCTACAATGTTTATATGTAAGTTTTTGGGTGGCATTATACAGCCGCGTTTCGGCCTTTTTTTAGTTTTTATTTTATTTTTTATTTTATTTTGATTTCTGTTTTTTTTTTTATTATTTTTGTTTTTTTTTTTTCTTTCCCCCCTTTTTTTTAAAAATAAAAAATGTTGCCCTGGACAGGGGAAGACTTTTTGGGAGGCGTCATTTATAAGAGCGACGCGACCTTCAGGGTGCCTTTTTCGAGGTGAAACTCCAAATGGGGATATATTTTTTTTTTTTTTTGTTTTTTGCGCTTGGCGTCTTGCGCCCCGGCGCTGCATGGAGGTAGTTTTCAAGTAAATATTTTCGTATTACGGATGCATCCATAAATAATGTTTTTGGCTCGACGCGCTTTTTTTTTCTTTGCCACCTTGTAACGAACGTAATGGGCAGCGTTTTTTTTTTTTTTTTTTTTGCATCTTTTTTGGGTCGCCTTTTTCTGCATGCAGCGGCGCCGACTGGACCAACCACAACAACGTCACCACAGCTTCCTTTTTCAAAAGGGCGTCAAAAAAAAAAAAAAAAAAAAAAGTCGTCTCCGTTGTGCGCCCTACAAGTGGCGAACGAGAACGCAGAAGCGATTCCCTTTTTTTTAAGAACAGAAAAAAAATGCAAATTTAAGGCTGTCATTCTCAGTTTTTAGTCGGTTGGTTGGTTGTGGTTAGTTTAAAAACACAGTAGGTCAAATCGGTCAGTCGTCCATCCCACCATCACAAAGTTGATAATTTTTTTTCAACCTGCTTGCTGCTCTTGCCATGGTCCCGCATCCTATAAAATTCGTTAACGTCATCCAAAAAATCGCTTTTTTTATTTTTTTTTTTCAAAATTTTAAACATGTAATTTTTAAAATAATATTTTTAAAAAAACTTTTTTGTTTTTACCTTCGCTGACTTAAATTATATTTTATTTTGCTACCACATATTTTTTCTTCAACAGACAAATTTTTTTTGTTTCGTGATCTCCACTTTTTCTTTTTTTACAAGTCTTACAAAGTAAACTTAGCATATTTCCGCTTTTTAAATCTGTTAATAATTTTTTAGTTTAAATCTTTTTTATTTTCTTTAATTTCGAACTTTGAAGTAGATTTTTTCTTTTTTCCCCCCCCCCCCCCCCCCTGCCGTTCACGCGTCAAGTAATAAAAACCACCTAACAGAGAGGGAGAGAAAAGCTTCTGCAGCAATCACCTCTTTAAGATTAAGAATACGTTTAGAGGGGAGGGTATTCATTTTTTAAGTTATTATAAACGTTGGTTACCCAGCCCGTGTATAATAATCTTACCCGTGCTGCCTTGACCCACGTACATGACTCATAAGTTTTTTTTTTTTTCCAACTCCCATTTTTCTCCTAGGCGTTACAGAAGAGAAGAGATAACACGTAAGTATATATATACACATATCCCCACGTCGCAGCCGAACCCCTACTGCCTTTTTTTTTTTTTTTAAGAACCCGTTGACCCCGAACTACTATACTACTACCACTGCGCGCATATACCATGGCTAAACGCAAGTACATGTCCAAGGTGGATGGCAAAATCAACGTCGGCGAGAAACACCAAGCAAAAATTCCCGACCTGGTGGTGCCTGATGAAAATGGAACGGACGTTGCAAATAAAGAAGTAGAAGAACACGTAGAAGATGTTGTAAGTGACGCTAGAACAAATAAGAGAGCTCGCGTGGAAGATGAAGTGGTTTCTACTGCTGGAGAAGGAGCAGAGAATTCTACTAGTGCTCAGGCAGAACCCGAGAATGCAGATGCACAAGTTGAATCGAATGAAAATGATGAAAGCAACAATGCAGTCGCCTCGAATGAAGGAGCGGAGGCAGAAGCGAATGACATGAACGAAGTTAATGACGCCACGCAAGACACAAACGCAGAAGAGACCACAGCTAACGACGTGGCGGATAATGCGAACACTTTGAATGAAGACAATCCTGACGACGCCGGAGCTAGCAACGTTGCAGAGGCCTCTGCTGGAGGAAACCTCAGTGGAGATGATGTAGCGACGCCAGATGACAATGCAGACTCGGCTGTGACGGAGGAGATAAACAACGACACGAATGGAAATGCGAACGAGGCCGCGGGTGAAAACGCGAATGAGGAAGCAGCTCCTGAGGAAAACGCAGAGTGATTGATCTCGCGCCCGCAATGAGACGACGCAAGGAGGAAGAGAGGCATACAATAACACTACACAGCTACATACGCATATACATATATGTACATATATATATATGTACATATATATATATATATTGCACGGAGAGGAGACGCACCGGCCAAGAACGACCACATATTATACCCAGGGCGCGCCTTACCCTGCTCGGATGGAAAGGAGATCAACGCATAAATGAACATATTACAAAACGGTGCAAATGACATATCTGCGCGAGTAGAATGGGGGAGGACATATACACACAGGTATGAGCTCTTGTAATGTGGAGGGGGCTGACAGTGGGGGGACGAATTTCACTCCCTGTTGTTTTTCCCCCCCCCCTTCGAATCATACCATTTACAATGTGATGATTACCGCATTTGTATCTCGACGTGTTTTTTTTTTTTTTTTGGACCTTCATATGAAATTAGCAAGACACAGGACAAAAGGCACACAGCAAAAATGTATATATGATACTATATAACACAATTTAACCCTGCTTAGAGAGTTCACTTAAAAAATGGTTTT